AGGCTGGGGGCAGCTCTGCCTGGGCTGCCTCGAGCACAGACACCCCAACTGGCCCAACCAGCCCAGCGTGGAGCCACGGTCCTGGAGAGAGGCCTTCAAACAGCACTACTTGGCCTCCAAAACCTGGACCAAAACCACACAGGACCTGGACTCCTCCAACTGCCTCTCCCTCTTCCGGAGGCGGAAGGGCCGGCGCCAGCTCTGTGTTGGCGCTGGGGGTGAGTTCGGTAGCCTTCGGGCTGCCCTGGCCGCCGCCAGCCCCTACGACCGCCTAGTGCTGCTGCCCGGTGTGCATGAGGAGCAGAGCGAGGTGTTGCTGAAGGTGCCCGTGGAGGTTGTGGGGCAGGGCAAGCTGGGGGATGTGGCAGTGCTGGTGAGCATTGACCAGCACTGCCCCACTGCCCGCCTCTGCAACGTGGTCTTCATGCCAGCCCGCTTCACCTCGGTGCTCTACAAGGTGAGGCTTTGCCGAGTGGGGATGGTGGGGATGGCAAGACCGCTGAGGTGTCACAGCCGAGGGGGTTCTCTGGTCTGCGGGCATCTGGAGAGCACAAGCAGGGGTTCATGGGACTCCCTAATTCGTGGAGGTTCAGGGGCTTAGTGCTCTGAATGTCTCTACTTGATTACAGGTTGCCACATGTGCCACACAAATTGCCACTATCAAGAATGCCTTTGATTAATAAAGCAAATATGTATCTCTTTCAGGCTATTACAAATTACTATCGGCAATCAGTAATACAGTATCAATCTATAGTATGGCAGCAATCAGTAATAGAAACAATCATATAGCATCAACCAATAACAGTAGCAAACAAGTAACTATTACAGGTTACTGCAAACTTTCCACCAATACAAGAGGTTATGATAGATTATCTATATGAATATGTAATACAAGTATCAAGAGAATTAGACAGATTTCAGAAGGCGTCAAACCATCCGTCAGAGGTAAATTATTAAGAGGGGTCATCATTGTGCGGTAAACTAAAAGGGTTTTATTAATGGCTAAATGATAAATTATAATTAATTGTTGATTGAATAATAATTAAATGGTAATGAAATGATGATTAAGCAAAAATTGAATGGTAATGAAACACTGATTTGACACTGACTTAAATGATAATTTAGACGGTCATCAAACGCTCTGCTACTTACTACTCTTCTAATAATTAAGCTGGGTATGTAAGTGTCACTAGTGCACAATATACTTTTAGGCCCAATGTAAAATGTCACTTGTCTTGTTATAGGTATCAGATGCCAGGTAAGGGGTCTCTCAGCCTCAGGGAGTAAGCTTGAGAGGGGTCCCTCAAGGGAGATCGCTGCTGTGCAGCCCGCTGCTGTGCAGGAGGGCTCAGGGCTGCAGATTTTTATAGTATCAAGTGAAGGACTTGTAATCAACCCCTTCCTTTGGTGTTTGTGCAGGTGTGCAGCTGTAGCAGTTTTAGTTTTGTATAAAAACTAGAAGTTTTACTTTAACAGAATACCAGGTCAAGCTGTAACTGTTAGCTCCTGATGAGACGCCTTAGTCTCTGAGATCTGGCCTGGCACCCGTCACGGTTTGCACAGCAGGGCTGACTTCAGTCTGGGCTACTTGTTGCTGATGCCTGAACTGAAGCACTGTTCTCTCGGTCAGAGTGGGTGCATCCATAACACCATCCCAGAGGGGCACCCAAGCATCCCAGAGGTGGGAGGGCAAACCGCACCAACCCCAAAAGTGGGGCCAAAGGAAACCAGCAAGGTAACAGAGTCTCATATCAAAGACGCCCCATGTCACAGTCTGGCGTCAGCCAGGCATCCCCGGCTATGATCCGAGATCTCCTAGCAGGCTCATGCAGAGAGTTCAGCTGGTTCGGGAAAGGAAAAGTACATGCAGGATGGGACATTCTCAGAAAGAGAAGCTCCATTTTGGATAAAAATTAAGTCTATTTTAAGAGGGTGTAGCACACCACCACTTTGAGCCACAAATGGATGCTGTTAATTTCCATTTTTCACCTGGAACAGCCAATAGTTGATGATGTTTTTGTTCTTTCAGGAAATTGTACTTTTCTAGGCTATTTCCACTTTCCCTGATGTTAAGTTGCCATTACAGTCCCTTGGTTTTTGCACTTACTGGTGGTATCTCAGGATGTCCCTGGTTTCTCAGTACCGAGCTGCACCTCAGAAACACAGCTGTGCTTCTCAAGGATGTTTCTGGCTCCCAGCTCCCAGGCTGGCAGGTGTTTTCCTTTGTTTAGGGATTCTCCCCTTCTCACCAGCTGCCTTTAAGACTGCCAGCACAGCAAGGCGTGAGCGACCTGAGAGGCTGGGTGTGCAAGAGGCACCCCCGACAGCAGAGTCTCCCTGCAGTGCGCTCCACACCAGCCCCGCTGCCCCCAAAAATGGTTGCTGCTGATACATGCTCTTCCCTCAGCCTGGGCTAGGAGCCCTCTGCCTGGATGCCCAGGGTCTTCTGTGGACCTAAGCCAGGACACAGGATCATGGGCCCAGACCTGCTGCCATGGTCCGTGCTGATAACACTTTGGTTCCCATGGACAGCCACTGACTGGTCCAGAGTGGGACGTGCCCAGTGTGAATGCTGCACCCATGGGCTGTGCCTCCAAAAATGAGACCTTCCTCATAATGAGTCAGCCCATTGTTAGTTATAATTTATGCTTTCTTTTCCTTTTGACCATTCTGTTACGTGACATGTTTAACTTAATCAGTCTGAAAGTCCCCAAGAGACAGATAATGCATCGGCACGCCGTGGGAAAACTGAGTCACAAATCTGCTGAGAAAGTCCCTCTTTGTCCATGGACATGTGCTGGGTTGCTGAAGTGGACATGTGGTGTCTTGCTCAGTGACGTCTCCTGCACTGATGTGGCTGCATTTCACTGTTCAGGCTGTTGCTCTGCTCTCTGCATGCAGCAGGGTGATGGTACAGCCCTTCAGCAGCTGTTGGTGAAACAACAGCGTTTCCTCCCAAATCCAGCAATGAAAAAGAAATTAAAAAGGCAAACTTAGGCCAGTCTTACTGGCAGTCATTAAAACCCTGTGAGGTGCAGTTTCAGAAGGGCTTTCACAAACGGCCTCCCAAAGGCTGGTTTGATTGTGTCCCTTTTAATGATTTTTTTTTTAATTATTATTTAAACAAAGGGAAGGTATGATTCAGTCTGGAGAGACTAGCAGTTGGAAAGGATTTCTGTGTGGTTGTCTTTGGGTACAAATAAATTCATTTCAAAACCTGTTTGCAGTATGACCACTTCTGAGAGCACTCAAGGCTGAAAACAAATGTTAGGATGCTGTGTTGGCTGCAAACTCTAGAAATTTCTGTAAAATCGCCCCAGCTCACCTGTCACAAGCTGTTGGTCTGCCTGCTTTTAATGTGGTGCACTAGGCAATCGAGGGATAACCTGGGAAGAGAAAGTAATGATTTAGGAGATTCCTAGTCAAAGTAAGAGTACAGAGAAATTCTAAGCGCGCTACTCAGCTTTTCTGACCTGGCTGCTCTGTACCTTTTTGCATTTTGGTTGGCCTTTTCTGTAGATAAGCAGTGACTTGCCCTGCCTGTGCAGGAGAGAGATATTTGGCCATGCACAATAATCCTGATGGGTTGCCCGCACCCATAAATTGCTACGTACATTACCTAGCACAGCAGGAAGGCCGTGGTAGGGATGGCTCACAGTTCTGCAAGTACCAGCAGGTCAGATGGGAAACCACAGCCAGGGAACAAGGAATTGATAGTGTCTGTCCTACTGCAGTGTCACAACAAAATACCTGTGCAGCTGTATGGCACAAATTTTCACCTGTTTTGCTTTACACTTGATGCATTGTAGGCGCAGTGTCCTTGCACCAAGGATGCTAATGGCTCTCCAGACCAACCAGGCCATGTTTGATGTTGTCTTACCTGCTGCTTCAGCCAGTAAACCCCCGAGTCCCTTAACAATGCCAGGTGGAAAAACATGTCTCTGAAGGTTGCAAACTCTTCTTTGTAGGGAGTGTTGCTAAGGTTTAGTGATCTTGACAAATCTAGGCCCTGTCTGCTCCCACACATGACGGCTGGGCCTTGCTGAGACTGCAAAGCTGTATCTAGGCAGGGAAGTTGTCGTGGACACCAGTGAGGAGTGGTGTTCCTCAGGGTTTGGTACTGGCACCAGTGCTGTTCAACATCTTTGTCAGTGACATGGACAGTTGGATCAAGTGCACCCTCAGCAAGTTTGCTGACAACACCAAGCTGTGTGGAGCAGTCGACACACTGGAGGGGAGGGATGCCATCCAGAGGGACCTGGACAGGCATAAGAGATGCCAACCTCATGAAGTTCAGCAAGGTGAAGTGCAAGGTCCTGCACCTGGGCAGGGACAATCCAATGCATAAATAGAGGCTGGGCAGAGAATGGATTGAGAGCAGCCCTGGAGAGAAGGACTTGGGGGTGCTGGTTGATGAGAAACTCAACATGAGCCAGCAATGCCCGATCGCATCCCAGAAGGTCAACTGTATCCTGGGCTGCATCAAAAGAAGTGTGGCCAGCAAGTCGAGGGAGGTGATTCTGCACCTCTACTCCACTCTTGTGAGACACACACACCGCCCCCCCCTCCCCCC